GGGACGGTGCCGGCCTCACCCCTGTGTCCCCTGTCCCCTGCGCACCCAGGCAGCGGCACCTCGAAGAAGCTGGCCAAGCGCAACGCGGCCGCCAAGATGCTGGTGCGGATCCACAACGTGCCCATGGAGCCGCGGGAGGGCAGCGAGGCTGAGGTGGAGGAGGACCAGTTCTCCATGGTACGGGGCTCGGGCACCCCAAGGCCAGGCCTTGAGGGGCTAATGGGGGACAAGGGCCATCCGAAACCAGCCTGAGGGGTTAACGGGGAACACGAGCACTCTGAATGTGGCCCTCGGGGGGTTAACAGGTGACATGGGCACCCCCAAAACTAGCTGAGGGGTTAACAGGGGACACGAACACCCCAAAACCTGCTTGAGGCGTTAATGGGGGACATGGGCACCTCTACCTTCCCCTTTCAGGACTTATGGACCCCAAAGGGTTAAAAGTTGTGGAACAAATTGGGGAGTGATAGTACAGGGGGACCCCCAAGGGTGACCTGGGATCCCCAGGTCCTCCCTGGCTGTAGGGGACCCTCCGGATTTGGGGTCCCTGGGCGGTCGATGCAGTCCCCACAGAGGGTCTCTGCATCGAGGGGTCCCTATGGCCCCCGTGCCCTCAGGGTGTCCCCACATGGGGGGGGTCTTTTCCATCCCTGTGTCCCCCAGGGTGGCCCTGCATGGGGTCTTGTTGGACGCTGAGCCTGTGTCCCTGTGTGAGGGTCCCAGTATCCCCAGATAGGTCCCTGTTGGGGGGTCCCAGTGGTCTCTAAGCCTCTCTGTCCCTGGAGAGTCCCCTTGGGGGGGGGTCTTGGTGGTCTCCATGTCCCTGAAGGTCACCACATGGGATCCTGAGACTCCTTGTCCCCAGAGGTGGCCCGATATGTGGTCCCTGAGCCCTGATTTTCCCACGTGGGGGGGTCCCTTACCTTCCCCGTGTCCCTTGAGGTGTCCTCACAGGGGGGTCCTGGAGGTGCCCATGCCCTCGCGTGGGGGTCCGAGCAGTCCCCAATCACCCCTGTGCCCCCCAAGGCGGGCCCCAGGCTGGAGGGGCTGCGGGGCCGGGCGCCCGGCTGCACCTGGGACTCCCTGCGCAACTCGGCGGGCGAGAAGATCGTGCAGCTGCGGAGTCACCCACTGGCACCCCTGGGTGCCGGGGCCCGCGCCCTCCTGCCGGAGCTCTCCG